CGGATGAAGATCTTGATGCAGGCGTCCAGGAAAATCCTCGGATCTCTGACATTGAGCTCCCGAGAGGCGATGAATTGCTTGTTTGTGTAGAGGTGGTGTGCGCACTTGTCGACGGACCACTCTCTCCTCCTCCTCCTCAGCTCAATCTCAATCGAACAGTTGTACGAGTTCGCCACCAACACTCGTTTCACCCTTGACCTGCACACACATGACAAACACACACACACACACACACACACACACACACACACACCCACACCCACGCACACACACACACACCTGTCTCTTATACACATCTAGATGTGTATAAGAGACAAGTTCAGATCCCTCAAACACAATCATGTTTAGGGGAATTTTCCTTCAAACGGAAAAAAAAAGGAGGAGAAAAGACAAATAGTCCTCATGCAGCCTGTGTCTGAATGGTACACACTCGTAGCTCTTACATAGCCATTGCTTCCTAGGACTCGTCATTTGGACACAGTGGAACAACAAAAAACAGCAGTTCGAGGATTTCCTAGATAATAATATTATGTCCGACATGACCCTAACTCTTGGGAGCAGGAACGTCAAAGATATGACTGACTGTCAGCAGTTCAGATCCATCAAACACAATTATCATGTGTAAGGGCACACTCACACTACCACGTATTTTCGCAAAATAGCAAATTTTATGTAGTTTTCCGGGTCACAAGAGGCACGTATTTTGCGTGTTCACACAAAAGGGCACGTAAATGTTAGCGGCCTGGCATATTTTGCGGGGACCTCCAGAGGTCCCCGCAAAATCGTATTTCTTTTTCCTCTACTGCTTTCCGGAAGCAAAAAAAAAAAAAAAAAAAGTGCATTGTGCTGTCTGACTGCAGACAACGTATTTTCGCATCTCAATGCCAGGTCGCGACCCTGTCTTTTCTGCTTTGGGCAACAAACGGGTGACCAGTGTGACCCGCAGGTGCCATATAAACGCATATTCACATACGTGAAATTTGCGGAAGTACGTGCTAGTGTGAGTATGCCCTAAGGGGAAAAAAAAGGAAGAAACAAAGTGCAAACGCGGCAGTTTTTGAGTTTGCAAATGCGAAAAAAAATAAAACACCTGCCGAGTTCGAAAAATTAATGCAATTCGGGTAGAAAAGGAGGACCCGTTGGGCCTTTTTTTTTCCCGTCCGACACCACGGCCGACCCCTGTAGTTATGACACCCGGCTTGACACCATCCCATTTTAAAACTTGGCGGCTGCTTTCTTTGCAGGAGCGTGTTTTTTTTCGCACATTAGGAACTGGAAAGTGACATAAACAAAATTGCCCCAAAAAGGAAAGACAATAGTCCTCCTCACCTAGCTTGTGTCTGAATGGTACACACTCTTACCTTTTACAGAACAATGGAATCCGATGTGTTTCTCTTTCTCCACCCAACCACCAGTACATGGCTCCAACCAACTTGAGAATCACGGTTGAGCCTACCCGAACACTTCGCCTACGATTTCGGGGCCAGTGCCGGCACCGTGACCGGTGACTGGTCCGGTCACTATGTTATGATTTCGGGGCCAGTGCCAGCACCGTGACCGGTGACTGGTCCGGTCACTATGTTGTGACCAGCCGCCGCAGCCGGTTACGGGACCCAGTCACCGGATTTTTGGGCCCTCCGGGGAGCGGGTGGTACAAGGGGCCTCTATGCCCTATGTATCCCCCCCGGTCATGACCGCAGTGCCGAATCCGCCCGATGGTCGAGAACCCGACCGCCAAGGTCGACCGCGCGAGTTTTTTGAATATTTATTTCTCAAAAACTAAAAGGCAAAAAAAAAGAAAAAAAAGGAGGGGCTGTAGGGCTTTCCAAACCCTACAACCCAGTATTTTTGTCTTCGGATTTCAACATTCTTTAAAAAAAAAAAAAAAAAAAAAAAAAAAAAAAAAAAAAAAAAAAAAAAAAAAAAAAGACAGAAAACTAAAAAAGAAGTATTTCAATAAAGAAAAGTTCTTAAAGAAAGGGCCATTTTTTCTTTCATTTTTCTGTGATTGCTGGTGGGATGAACATGTTGCACATGTTTTTTTTATTGACCAATGCACAGATAAAAGGGATAAAAGAAAAAAAAAGTACAAAAGACTTGAAAAAAGTGTAAAAAAGTTTTTTTTTTTGGTTTTTGACACACATACATGATATTGATTTATTGATTGATTGATTGATTGTCATTGGTTAATTGATTAATAATTGATTGACTGACTGATTGATTGATTGATTGATTGATTGATTGATTGATGGATTAATAGCAAAAACATTGCTCCGTCCAAGCTTGGGAGCGAAAATGTCGTCCGTTCAAAGTTTCCTTTGCAAAAATAGATGTTTCGTTGCAGCTTCATCGGGTTCCCATAGTTTGCCAGCAAACATACCACGTTTTGCCCAGTTTCACAGCAAAGGACCCCCTGGCCTCAA